TTAGGTTTTACATACATATCACCTCCTCAGCGAGGCTTTCCCTGACACCTCTATTTAACAGTGCCTCTCCCCTCCATCCCCACCAGCTCGCCTTATCCTCCTTACCCTGCTTAGCCCTTAGCACCTTCTCACATAATTTACTTACTGCGTTTACAATTTGTCTGCTCCCCCTTGTAGAAGGTAAGCACCAGGAGAGAGAGCAGGGATCCTTGTTCCGTTCACTAAACAGTGTGTAGCAGGTAGTAGATGCTGAAAATATTTGTTGAATGAATGTAAATAACATCCCTGAGGTCACACAGCTGGGAAGCAGCATGGCTGTGATTTGAATCCAATTTTATTCGGCTCTAAAGCCAGAGAATCTTCTTCCTTGGGCTGTTGTGAGGCTCAAATGAGGTCACATGTGTCAGCCACTTAGCACAGTGCCTGGTACAAAGGTTAACGTACCATAAACGTGAGCTATCAGCATCATTATTATTATCGTTATTATTATTATTGAGGGGAGCCCCCTCCCTCCTCCTGGGCTCATTTTTCTATAATAGTTCCATAATAATTTCCATAATAGTTCACTCAGCTCTTTGGGGTGGGACTTCAAGCTTAACTTGAGCAGACACACTGACATGACCCGCAGGTAGGAAAAATGCAGGTGTCTCTGGCCAGCCCTAGTTGCACAGATCCCTGCCCACTGCAGGACCCAATCCTCTATGCGGCCTTGCCCACTTTGTAACTGACCTGAAATTGTTCTCCCACAATTGCAAACAACACAGACTTCCTGTGTTTTGAGAAAGGGGAAGTCCAGCCAGCAATTTACCTTAAGTCATTTGTTTCAAGAAGGAAGCCTGGGCAGCTGGCAGAAGGTAACAGAAGGAGGAGGGCTGCCAGAAGAGAGAAAGGATTTTAGAAGGAGTTCCACCAGCCCTCAGCCAACTACACTGAGCAAGTCCCCTCTCTTGCCTTAATTTTCTCATTTGGAAAATAGGTCAATGATCTTCACCTCACTTGTTTCTCTACATAGTACTAGTATCGATGAGTGCCTGTGGGTGAAGAGATGGGAATACCTAGCATGTGCAGCTGGGAGGACTTGGAATGGCATCAAAGTCCAGAAGTTACAAATACACAGATCCTGGATTCAAATCCTACCTCCATCACTTTCTAGCTATGTATCCCTGGGCAAGTAACAGAGTCTCTCAAAGTCTTGGTTTCTTTTCCTATAAAATGGATTCTTGGTTTCCTCAGCTGTGAAATAATAGCTTATCTACTAAACTGGTTTTGAGGGTTGAGATATGCATATCAAGAGAGAAAGGACCTAGGCTCAGAGCAAGCTCTCGGGAATTGTGGCTCTTGTTTTTAATCCTCGATGACCTCTCACTTCCTCACATCTCCCCTGCGTGCTGTCTTGTCCAGTCCCAGCTGTGCTCAGGACAAAGCCCCATCTGAGATTGTTTCTAAGAGCCCTTCTCCCATATCTGTGAGGCCACAAATAATTGTTAAAATAGAGGATAATTTTATTTTACAAAAGTATTAAGTCCATGGTAGGAAAAAATATATATAAGCAAATAAGTAAAGAGAAGAAAATAGAGATTACACATAACTTCGCCACCCAGAGATAATCACTATTGACAGTTGGGAGACTTTCCTTCCTGATTTCTTTTTAATGAATGTGTAACAGGATGTTAAATGCAAGTTTCCTGTTGTTTTTGACTGTGGAGCAGAGGCAAAGAATGCCGAAGACCACCCTGGCAGGGCATGCTGAAGGATGGAGAAACCTGTTCTACAGGCATTAACCCATCACCCACATCTAGTCCTCATGGAGTGTGAGAGAGAGACAGACAGACAGACAGGCAGAGAGGAGAGATTGGTTGTGGAGGATTTCTTTTGGAGAGGATTGTTGATTATTGTTTGGTCCCCCCTGCAACACCCCCTCCACCCCAGGAAGGAAAGGTGGCTGTGTGTCTCTTTCTCACTTAAGGATAGAGGGACTTGAAGGGAGCCACTTGGTGAGTTTGAGACATGCTTCAGGGGTCAGGGGAGCAAGGAGAAAGGCAAGTCTAAGGCAATGGCCCACTCCTCCATCACTTGCACTTACAGACAGCATATCATGCTGAATTATAAATGTCAATTGAGTTGTCTGCCTCCCCAACTTGACCTGGAAATGTCTGTTTCAGAAAGCCTGGATCATGTATCCCCTGCCCCTGCAGAAGGCCAGGCACTTAGATGCTTGATAAATGGTCTGGTGAATGAAGGGAAGGCTGAAGAAGCCATGGAATAGAAAGCAGAAAGAACGAGGATTTTAGAACCGCACAGATCTAAATTCAAATCCTGCCTCTGCCACTTTCTAGCTGTGTCCCCCTTGGGGAAGTCACGTCACCTCTCTAACCTCATTTTTCTCACATGTAAACAAGGATAATTTGTGTATCTGTTCTGCAGAGTTTTGAATTAAATGAGATCAAGCACTGGCACATAGTAGGTGTTCCAGCAAGGACGAATGAATGAAGACACGGTAGTGTTGGAAACTCTGCAAACTGACTGGGTCGCCTGAGAATTTTCTGTCTGAACTGATACAGTTCTAGAATTTCCAGATCCTGGTTTCCTTCTTTGCTCCTTCCTCAGTCCCTATCATCATCATTATCATCATCATCATCACCATCATCATCATCATCATCTTTATAGCGGCAATAACAGCTGCTCTTTATATGACAATTTACAGAAATTCCATGGCCTAGTCTCATGTAAATCTCACAATAATCCTGTGAGGTCTGTATCATAACCCCCATTTAACAAATGAGGGAACTAAGGCCCAGAGACGGTGAATGATTTGCCCAATGGGCACAAAGATCTGAGACCTGAGGGCACTGCTTTTGGCCTTCCTTAAATAAATTGATTTAACATGTACTCAGCACTCCTTGTGTGCCAGGCCCTTGAAGTTATCAGCATGGCTCCTGCGCCCTTAAAAATGAGTGGGGAGGACAGACATGCAAGTCAAAACAATACCTATCATTCTGCATGGTAAGTGCTGTCCATGAAAACCCCAGACAATATGATCATTTTCTCTGTTGGGGGCAATTGGCCAGAGAGCAGGTCCAGTCCACTATTTTCTATCTCTGTGCCTTTGGGCAAGTCACTTCACCTCTCTGGGCCTTAATTTCTTCACCTGTAACATAGGGATTATAATAATAGTACCTCTCTCATACAGTCACTGCAGGGATAGCAGAGAGAATGTATGTCTGTAGCACAGTGGCTGGCACATGCAAGCACTCAGTACATTGCAGCTGGTTCTTCATTATTGTAACCTAGATGTCAGCCAGGGGCCTCCTGACTCCTTGAGATCTCCGCGGGGATGAGCTCAAGCACCCATCCCAAACCCCTTCCAAGATTACTGTAAATTCCTGGGAGGTTTTATTTCTCCTGCTTCAGCCTGCACTGTCTTTGGTCAGCACTATACCAAAACAGATGTAAAACTTGGCCCCTTCAGCCATTTCCACAAACACCCTAGTCAGGGCAGCCTCCGGGAGTATAGGAAACTTTTTTGAAGATTTCGAGGGATGGGAGACAGAGGAGGAGATCACATCATAGCTACAAAAAACCTCAAGGTGAACCAAAATGCCCTGGTTCCCCAGACAGCCTCAGCCGGCTCTTCTGCTTCCCTCAACACTATCCCCAGCCACTCAGCTGTGGGCCAGTCCCCATCTCCTGGTAATGGACGTCTGCCATTGTTTGGCTATTGTCTGCACTCTCTCTTCCTAAGGAGCTCTCCAATTTCCCTTCCAAGGTTATCCCACTGTGTGAAGCCTTAGGGGATGGGGAGGTTGGCTTCCCCTCCTGTCTCCTCTTCACTTCCCCACCCCCACCCCACAAGTCAAAGCACTACAGGGCCCCTCTCTGGCCTCCAGGTAGCCCCACAAGGATGGGAGGAAACGCTCACTGTCATTCATGGAAGTTGATGCTGGGGGGCGGGGGAGGGGGGGCTGGCTGGCTTCCAAATCTAGGTGGTCTTCTTGGCTGCCTCTACAACAGCTGCTTCTCAGAGCTTCAAGACGGCACCTTCGCCCTCAACAGTTTTTCAAAGTTTTTTCCCAGTGAAAGCCATCCTCTTTCCTAATGAGCTGCATGTGATCTGCAGGGATGTTTAAAACAACCAAATCAACATTTAAAAATTGAGAGATTACACATAAAAATCCGGATTTGTGGTTTTTCTTGTAAACTCAGAAAATCTGGCATTATAGAACCCACGTTCCCCAAAAGGAGCATGTTGGCCTGAAGAGAGAGCAGGGTCCCTGCTCTTTAGACAAGTCTTTCTTTTTTTTTCTTTTTTTACAATTTTTATTTTTATTATTTTATTTTTCTCCACACAGTCCCCCGGTACATAGTTGTATATCCTAGTTGTGAATGCCTCTGGTTGTGCTATGTGAGATGCCGCCTCAGCATGGCCTGATGAGTGGTGCTAGGTCTGCGCCCAGGATCCGAACCGCCAAAACCCTGGGCAGCCCAAGCACAGCGAGCAAACGTAACCCCTCCGCATGGGCCACCCCAGACAGGTTTTTCTTAGGCCCCTGCCCCTCCACCTTATTTATTTCTCCAACTTGACTCCTGTAGGTTTTCAACTTTGTGACCTTCGCTAAGAGGCATTTCACTGCCAGTTCCCACCCCCTGTTGCATTATTATAATAAAGTTGGGTCTACGAATGAATTTGCTAAGCTCACAAAGGGCACCCTCCGCAGAAGGTATAGCAACAGCCATCACTTCAGTATGCAAGTGATGGCTGTTCCTGGAAGGGTAAGGGGCCCAAAGGGACTGGGTCTCTGGTGCAAGAAGGCAGTGGGGCTGAAAAAGGTTAAGCTGGGGCTTGGGTATGAAGGGCCTTCATGCTCTCTTATAGGGCATTGGGGCTAGTGTGGGGTTTGAAGCAGGGCGACCCAGCAAGAGGTGTGCATACGAGAAATGTGGCTGGGAAGCTCGTGGGGCGGGATACATGGAAACCCTCCCCTCCCCCGCTGTCCCCGCAGGAAGCCCAGCAAGAGGCTGGGGCAGTCTTCCAGGAAGGCCAGGGATGCTGCAGCCGGACGCGTGGCAGCGGCGGTGGGAATGGCTGGGAGGACGGCAAGGGAGGGATCCCGGAGGCAGCCTCGCCGACAGTGGGTAAGCTCGACCTTGACGGAAAACACTGCGGCTGCAATTCGCTCGCCTCTCCTCTCCTCCCTCGCGCTGCAGCGGACTGCGGCGGAATTCCCGGCCCCTCGCCGGAGCGCCCCCAGCGCAGCTGCGGCATGCGACGGGCGGGGGCGGGATGGCGAGGTGGCAGGATGGCGGGGATGCCCGTCTTCCCTGGAAGGCTGGGGAGGGGAGGGAAAGGGAAACTCGTCACGTGGCGCTGCCCGATTGGCGGCTCCAAGCAGCCCGGGCTGCTCGGGTTTCCAGGCACGGAGCAGGCCCCTCCCCTCGTTCGGGCACTCGGGCGTGGGGGGCGGGGAGTGGGGGCGCTGACCCAGCGCCGAGCAGGGTAGGGTGAGGGTCTTGCTTTCTCCGCAGCGTGTGTCGCTGCCAGGTTCCGGGCTGCTAGCCAGGGTCTTCACTGCAGCTTGGGAGGTCTGATTATTGTCTCCATGAACACATCCCTTCTCCGCTTCTCTTCTGCCTTCCCCCACCTGTCCCTCTTATACGGTGCTACGAGAGGCCAGCTTTGTTTGGTCTGTCTGAAGCAGGTTTCTGTTAACTTGCCACAATTTTGCAGTTTTGGGCAAATTAATTAACCTGGCTGGAGGTGGGGAAGATCAAACCAGAAATCCAACCGGCATCTTAAGCCTCACACATCCAAACTGACCTTATTATCTCCCCAAACTGCTCCTTCTTTCGGTCCCCATATCTGTTTTCAGTAGAAACCCAATAGCCATCTCCATCTCACTGTATGACAAGTCTTATTAAATTTACTCCAAATATTTCTTAAACCTCAGTATCCAGTATTTGCCCTTAGCATTTATCCTGATTTGTAACTATGTTTATTTGTGATTGTTTTTGTATCCTTTTTCCCACTGAACTATAAGCTCTGGGAACAGGGATCTTGTCTATTTCGCTCATAGCTGTATCACCAACACAGTACCAGTCGCATAGTAGGTGCTTAATAAATGTTAATAGAATGAACAGATAGATGCATAGCAAGTCCTACACTAGGTATCAAAGTGGTCACAGATTTTAAGATGAAACATGCAGTTCTATCCTCAAGAAGTCATCTATCCAACAAACATCCCTGAGGCCTTCTCTACGCCAGGCCCTGGGAGGGGCCAGTGCACAAGATGAGTAAGACTCCACATCTACCTTCCCCCTTCATCTAGGGGGAACACACTAACCTAGACAATAAGACTCTGCGGTATTGGAGAGGTCAGGGAGGTGGGTGGTACTTCTCCACCTCTGGAGTCCAGGATTTGGGATCCGATGATCTGGCTTCCCAGACCAGCTTGGCCACCTTCTGGCTGTGTGACCGCAAACCTCCTCTCTCTCTCTCTGAGGCTCCATCTTGTCATCTGAAAAATAGGAATAACAATACCATCTCAAAGGGCTGAGAGATATGAATGAGACAAATGAAAGCACCAACTGCCAGGTTTTACAACAATGTTGAGTGTAGATGTGTGACCGTACCTTCTGGTTTGCCTGGAACAGATCGATTAACACTTGTTGAAGCACAGCAATCAATAACAGCATTCCCGGGGCTGGCCCTGTGGCCTAGCAGTTAAGTTCAGCATGCTCCACTTTGGCAGCCTGGGCTCGGTTCCTGGGCACGGACCTACACCACTCATCAGAGGCCATGCTGTGGCGGCAGCCCACATACAACATAAAGGAAGATTGGCACAGATGTTAGCTTATGGTGAATCTTCCTCAGCAAAAAAAAAAAAAAAAAAAAAAAAGCATTCCCTTTCATTCTTAAAAGTGTTCTGGGTTCAGGGGCTGGCCCCGTGGCCGAGTGGTTAAGTTCGCGCGCTCTGCTGCAGGCGGCCCAGTGTTTCGTCGGTTCGAATCCTGGGTGCGGACATGGCACTGCTCGTCAGACCATGCTGAGGCAGCATCCCACATGCCACAACTAGAGGAACCCACAACGAAGAATACACAACTATGTACTGGGGGGCTTTGGGGAGAAAAAGGAAAAAAAATAAAATAAAATCTTAAAAAAAAAAAGTGTTCTGGGTTTGGATAGTAAATTATGTGGTCATCCTAGTAACAGGTGTGACACAGAGTTATCTACATTGTGCCCTGGGGACACAAAGGAGGAAGGGAGGTGGGTCTGACTGTAGAAAGGGGGGTGGTGACCATGGAAATGAGACAGGAAGTATGCATGGGATGACACCAAGTAGAGAGGGATAGGAAAGGCACAACACACAGAGGTACCAGCATTTGCAAAGAAGCACAGTTTGATAAATCTGAGCATGTTTAGATAACATCAAGAAGCCCAAATGGCTGTATTGCCAGATGCATGGAGATGAGGCTGGCAGTGGAAAATGTAGAAAGTTTTGAGTAGGGGTTGACATGAGCCGCTGGCTTCACAAAAGAGACCAGTTGAAGAGCTGGGGCCAAAGTCTAGGCAAAGCAGATAATGAGGCCGGAACCAGAGTGAGGTTCCATAAGCACTTTGGAGGCAAATGGGACTTGGACTTTGGGGTCGGAGGACAGGTCAGAGGCAGGAGGATTTCCAGGTGGATAGGGAGGCCATTCACTGAGGCAGGTGGGGAGGAGGAAGGCCCAGGAGACCCAGGAACAGGAGGCAACCCAGATTGGACTGACCAGGCCCAGTGGCATTCACCACTCCTGATCCAGAGGGAAAAGGTAGGGGTAACAAGAAGTAGAGTTCACTCCTGAGGCTAGAGGAAGGAGCTGGGGCCCAGTCAGTATTCAGGTGAAATCTGATCAAGAATAGCTTTCAGGGGCCAGTCCTGTGGCCTAATGGTTAAGTTCAATGTGCTCCACTTCGGCATCCTGGGTTCAGTTCCCACGTGTGGACCTAACTACTCATTGGTGGCCATGCTGTGGCAGAGACCCGCATACAAAATAGAGGAAGACTGGCACAGATGTTGGCTCAGGGCAAATCTTCCTCAGCAAAAAAAAAAAAAAAAAAAACTTTCAGAGCAGCCTTGAAAGGCAAGAGAAAGCTCAAAAGTAGAACCTCAAGCAAAGAGCAAGCAGGTTTTGCAGGCTAACTTCATTGTACATTGGCTCTCCTTGATCAAAATGTTCCCACAATGCCCCACTACCTAACAGAATATAGGGTGAGGTCCTCAGCTTGGTGTTCAAGGCTCCTGGTGACTTGGCCCTAATCTATCTCTCGTGAACTTTTCATATTTCTCCTGCTCATGTTTGGCTCTTCCCTTCATGTGAAAACAGAAGAATTGCTCCTCCCCCTGGCCCAACCACAAGTGGGCACTATCAATCATGGCATCCCATCCCCCATGACCAAGGGCCCAGTTACCATAGAACTTGTCCCAAAGGGTTACAGGAGTAATAATATAGAACCTTTCCATTCCCTCTTCTCTCTCACATCCATTCAAACATTCTTTGCTCCTGTCACATCCTGCTGCTCACACTTCCTCAGACTGATCATGCGTTCGTACCCCTAAGCCTTTCCTCCAGGCTCCTTCAGTTTGGAATGTCCTTTCCTCTTCTTACAACTTGTCAACCCCTACTCACCCTTTGAGACTCAGCTCAAAGGGCTCTTCCTCAGGAAAGCCATCCCTGACCACCCTGAGCAAGGCTTGCCAGGCCCTCCTCTGGCCTGTCACAGCTGTTTGTACATGTCCTCATTACCTAGTATCCCAATGACCTGCTTTCTTGTCTGTAACCCCCATCGGACTATGTTTTTCATCTCCATGACCCTAGTGGCTGGCAAAGGGCCTGCCACAAAGTAAGTATAACAAATGTTTACTGAATGAGTGCAGATGAGTGAGAGTCCTTCTCTCTCTCATGCCATCTCCCTGAGTCACTACTCAGTTTTTATCAAGTGGAGACACAGAAAATTAAGTGGAAAGAACTGCTTTAGTGCCTTGATTCAAGGGTGATGGGTTCGGGGAAGAAGAAAACCCAGTAGAAACAAAGCCATTGCAAAGTCAAATGGCATTTATGAGAGGTCAGTTTTCTGCCAAAGCACTGATGGTGGCAGCTTTGAGCTGAGGCAGAGTTTGTTTGGGAGCCGGAGCCAAGACAAGCAAACACGCGGTGTGTTGAGCTTTTCAGCAAGCTAGGATTCTGACAGCTGTTTCTGTCAGCTGCACAGGGAGAAGCATCTAAAAGCCATCTGGGTCTGCCTGGAATCAGGAGTCCCCATTTCTTTCAGCACAATGCAACTTAAGGAACAAGGCAGCCCTCTCCCCCACCCTTCATCCCCACCAGAGGCACACACCTCCTGGGAGAGGGCTCTGTAACTGATCAGGACATTGGGCACAGAGAACAGAGTCAAAATTGACTAGAGAGAACTGTGGCTGAGATAATACTGCTTATTAAATAGTCCACGGCCCCCCCTACCTTTCCTGGCCTCCCTCACCGTTAAAGGGGTAACTGTATAACAAGTAATCCATGAAACAAGTTCTGGCTAATAGTCTGTGAATGGAAGTAACATGTCATTTCCAGGCTTAAGTATTTAATTGTGGGTGCACAGCCCTGCAGCTCTCTCTTTCCCCTACTGAGGCAATCCTGAAAGCCCCCCATTCAGGTGGTAGAGCCCAGGATAGAAGTGGCCTGGATCTCTGAGTTACCCAGTGGAGTAGAGGAGAGATACTCTGGAAAGTACCTTGATCAATAGCAAATTTTGCATGAGTGGGGGAAATTGTTGTATTAAGCCATTGAGATATTTGGGTTGTTCATTACCACAGCAGAGACTGGCCTAGTCTGGCCAATATTTAGAAATTAATTATTGTTTTAGCCATCCAGCCTCCTTCCTCCTTGAGGATAAACAGTCCTCTTCCTTATAGGACTCTTCAGTATTGCCAAATCCAGGGGTCACTTCCCTGTTCTTATCTTTCTTGATTTCCCAGCAGCATTTGTCACAATTAACCACACCCCCCCAGAAACACTGTATCTTGGTGTTTGTGACATCATGCCTGCTTGGGTTTTTGCCTGTCTCACAGCCCCTGCTTCTCAGTTTCTTTTCCTGGCTCCTTTTCACTGTTTTATCTCAAAAGTTTGAAGTTCCTCAGGACTTATTCCTGGGGACCTTTCTTATGGCTAAGTACCACCCATGAAAAAGACAGCTGTTTACCTTCCAGTATTCATTCTACCGTTCTTGATTAATAACAGAGCCCCTATTTTTAGGGGCACATTGTGCCCAGTTAAAAGACTATAATTCCCAGTACAGCCATGTGACTATGTTTTGGCCAATGAGATGTAAGCAAAACTGTGCATGCCTTCCAAAGCAGCCTTCTTAAAAGGAAAAGGGTATGCCTTTCTTCCCTTTTTCCTCCCCACCGTCTGGAATGTGGACTGTAATGAGGTGACCTTAAAATTGGAAACCAAGTGCTGACGATGGCAGAGAAGTCCTGAGCTGCTTACTTTTGGACTTATTTTTCATGAAGAGAGAAATAAATTTCTATTGTAAGCCATTTTTTCCTTTTATTTGCAACTGAGTCTAATCCTAACTGATACATTCCCATTGCTGTTGAAGCCTCTTGCTTGCCTCCCATTTGGAAGGTTGAGTCCAGATTCTCCCCCAGTCAGAGGAATGGAAAACCAGCAGAAAAAAGGCACTTCCAGGCCAAAAAAAAAAAAAAAAAAAAATGCTGGGCTACCAGGACAGAATGGGAGGCGGGCCTAGGAATCCAGTCTATTAGCTCACAGAGAGCACTGAATGCTACATTAAGAAATTTAGACTTTGTAAGTCCCTTGCAGATAGGGGACCCTGTCTGTCTTATGTAGCCATGCCTTCGCTTCATAGATGCTCAGTGAATGATTATATTCTTTATTAATGCTGTTTGCTTAATAACAACAAAAGAAATGTTGGAAGGTGGATCAGTTGGAATCACCATGTAATTTACCCTTCTCTGCTTTTTACAGGTGAAGAAACTGAAGCCTCATTTGCTGAAAGGAAAAACGAAACTCCACCTTGGGGATGACGGCGATCGGGGTGACAGAATTGGGGGAGGAGACCAGGAAAAGCACTAGGGTCAGCGTCTCCTCAAGATGGCTGCCCCGGAGCCACGTGACCTAGAGGAGGCGGAGCTCCGCCCCAGCACGCCCCGCTCCGCCCCGCTCGGCCCCGCCCAGCGGGCCCCTCCGGCCGGGGTGGGGAAGCGGGTTGTGAGGTGTCTCAGCGAGGCGCCTGCGCAGTGGGCAGGGGCGCGCGGGGCGGAGGCTTTATAACCACTTCGTCGCCAACGTTCGGTTTCTATCTCGGGGAGGGCGGCTGGGGCGGCGGCGGCCGGGGCGCCGGCTGAGGGGGCGCTGAGGCGGGAGCTGTGGCGGCGCTGGGCGCCCCTCGCCCCTCGGCCTCTGGGGGCCATGGGCTCCGAGAAGGACTCCGAGTCGCCGCGCTCGACATCCCTACACGCGGCCGCGCCCGACCCCAAGTGCCGCAGCGGCGGCCGGCGCCGGCGCCTCACCTTCCACAGCGTCTTCTCTGCCTCGGCCCGCGGCCGCCGCGCCAGGGCCAAGCCGCAGGCCGAGCCGCCGCCCCGGCCGCGCCGCCGCCGCCCGCCGCGGCCCCGGCCGCCGCCCAGGCCCCGCCGCCCGAGGCGCTGCCCGCCGAGCCGGCCGCCGAGGCGGAGGAGGAGGCCGCGGCGGCGGCGGGGCCCGGGTTCGACGATGAGGAGGCGGCGGAGGGCGGCGGCCCGGGCCCGGAGGAGGTGGAGTGCCCGCTGTGCCTGGTGCGGCTGCCGCCCGAGCGGGCCCCGCGCCTCCTCAGCTGCCCGCACCGCTCGTGCCGGGACTGCCTCCGCCACTACCTGCGCCTGGAGATCAGCGAGAGCCGCGTGCCCATCAGCTGCCCCGAGTGCAGCGAGCGGCTCAACCCCCACGACATCCGCCTGCTGCTGGCCGACCCGCCGCTCATGCACAAGTACGAGGAGTTCA